TAATTAGTGAGTCGAACGCGAATTGTCAAGCCAGTACCACATCAATTAAGACCCAAGCGGTGGCTACAGAACTGAATACTTATCACACATGCGGATGACCACTATGAACTATAAATGCCGTGGAACCTGCACATGTTTCAACCCTATCTGTGCATGACTATGACTATGTTACCATCACCCATGATTAAGAATTACCGACGGAATCCAAAACGTCAGGAAAATAAAACTCTTGTTCCAGTGATCGCATCCTCTTCTTCTGAAAAGCAACTGTGTTGTCTCCCTCCCACATACAGTCAGACGCTCCGGGGCAGAACTGGACGCAGTCAACACAAGCCCAGGCTTTGCCAATGGCCACTGCTGCCTGATACAGCAACTTAGACTTCTGTGCACAACAAAGCCCCCATTCCGGTTACTACTGCCCTTTACCTACAATTTGGGGTTTGGCCTGATAATTGTAGTGCTCAGCTCGTCACAACACAGCCAAACGCCCAACCAATCAAAAGAGGACACCCTACAGCAGTGTTATCATTTACATTTCAGGCGAGAGATAAGCACAACGTAAGCATATTGTACAGGTGCAGCGCTACAGAGGGCACAAACAAAAACAGGGGGCTAAGAGTTCCCTTCATCCTGCTCCTTTCCCTTCTCCGCCTCATCGTCATCGTCGTCAGAGGACATTGGCCCGTCATCCATGCTGACTGAAGGTGCTATGAGTGGTAGAATGAAAGCATTTAGTGAAAAGAAAACAGCACTTTAAAGCATGCGAAAAACTCGTCAGACAGGTTCGACAGTGGACCTCTTTGCCCATGTGTGTTGTGCATTCTCCCACTGCGACAGTGTCCGAGAGACACCTGTTAAAGGTCAACGTAAACTTCAAACCACAATCTAACAGATATGACAACAAACATACTACTCATTTGAGCTCCATAGACATTTTTTTTAAATATTACAGCCACCTTTAGAGATATTTTGTCCGAGTCAAAAACATGCTTCAGAACTTTAAGTTGAACTTTAATGCGGTGGCAAATCTACTGAAAATTGCCTGACAGTCACTTCACGACAGGCAGAGAAGATCAGAAGGCTGTACCCCAGTCCAGCGGATCATTGAACGTATGCTCTAGAGACTAAACCAGGGAGTCAGTTGGCGGCAAAAATCAGTAATGTGTACTAAAAGGGGACTCTGTACAATCCCTGTTTACTTTTGAAAACAAGCTGGAGCTCTTTATGATGGATCTTGAAAGAGATGGTTTACTACATTTTGAAAAACTGAAACAATATATAGATGCATGCACAGTAAGTGAGTCCACTCAAAACTTTGATCACCATCAGCTAGTTGGCTTCACCTCCAGTCTCATACAGTCGTTCAAAGCACGCTTTGGCGAATTTCGAGAGCTTATCATCAAGCCAACCGAGTATTCACTGAACACAACCGACCTGAGTTATATTCCTGGCCTCTCCATTAGAGATTTCGAAGAAGAATTGGCTGACCTGGAGGCCTCAGACATGTGGGTGAATAAGTTTAAGCCACTCAATGAAGATTTGGAAAGGATCGCACGACATAAAGCGGAGTTGGCAAGCAAGAACATGTGGACAGAAATTAAAAAACGCAACCCAAACACCAGCTGATAATCAAAACTCGAAACACGTTTCCGGTTACATACCACACACTGCAGCGTGTGAGTATTGCTGTATTGCCCCTGTTTGGATCTGCGTATGCATGTGAGCAGTCATTCTCACATCATATATGCATCACGTCCAACATACGATCACGTCTAACGGATGAAAGCCTCAACGCTTGCGTGAAGCTTAACCTCACCAACTACCAACCAGACAATAAAGCCATCAGCGGGGGACTGGGGGGAGGAGGGAGACAGCGTAACGCCTTCAAATAGTCAGAGCTATGCTTTGATCTTAACTGGACACAACAAGAAAATCAGTGTCGAGGATGCCGATTGTAGAAGCAGACTGGGGAAGGAAGGGGTGACAGCGGAACTTACTCCTTTCAGCTGGCAGGGTTTGAAGCAGCGCATCCATTTCGTCAGACAGCTCGGTGTCACCCTCCTTGGCGCAGAACTTAAAGGAGAAGAGGGGGAGGTGAGTGGAGGAACAGGAGGTGAGGAGTAATGCAAACAACTTTCTGCCTTTTCCCACATTCCAGGCATGATAGTAGAACGATGACGGTGTTTTAAATGTGGCCAAAGCCGAGATTTCCCCACCTAATTACGCCTTGTGCGAGTCCCAACGGAAGGAAACGACAAGAGCGCAAAAGCGGAAGTCTTTTGGCGTAAGTAGTACAACATATGAGGTAACAAACGCGTGTACAGCCATGTCCAATGGGCCAATCAGATACTGCCCTGCTACGAGTAGCGACAGGATCGGCTTGTGACTCAACGTCTGGCTTGTCAGATTCTTAGCCTGATCGCATCTTTAAATTTTAAATTATTGACTGACAGTTGCGTTTGATGCGCGTAGGCAGATCGATAGCCTGCCGCGAGTGCGGCCCGCTGCCAGATTGCGCATTGATATCAGCTTTTTCGCCGGCTGATTCGATTAGGGCGAGTCCTAACAGAGAGTTTTAGAAATAACCTTTGAACTACACAGTAGATCAATACAAAAACTCAAAAATATTGACTTATAGTTCAAGGACGCGTTACGACCCAGCGGACTGTACCGTCACACGCCATTTTCATGGGAAAAACCTTCAAGTGCAGAAATATAAAATAGTAGTATATGAAGGAGATAAAGAACTGTAGAACTACCGTGGAAAGTGGAAGAAAGGTCACAAAGAGCAAAAACCTCGCCGGGCAGATTGGCGGTACACACAGGCCAATACGAGCAGAGCACAAGGGACTTACCAATTTGGCCATGGTAACATAGTGTCTCAGCCGCTCGGGATCGGATTCCTTCCAGAGTTGTTGTCCAACCACGGATATGAGGTAATATACCTTTTAACGAGAAACCAAACAGCCCCAGTAATTTAAAAATAAGACCTTGGTTGCAGAGAAGACAACGAAAGAATCAGTAAGAAAATAATAAAAAAGAAAATATGAAAGGCTGAAGCATAGGGAGTCAGGCGAGGAAAGCGGAAGTGGGGGGGGGTAGCGAGATGAGGACAGGACCTTGGTTGCAGAGAAGACAACGAAAGAATCAGTAAGAAAAGAATAAAAAGGAAAATATGGAGTCAAACGAGGAAAGCGGAAGGGGGGTAGCGAGATGAGGACAGGACCTTGGTTGCAGAGAAGACAACGAAAGAATCAGTAAGAAAAGAATAAAAAGGAAAATATGGAGTCAGACGAGGAAAGCGGAAGGGGGGGGGTAGCGAGATGAGGACAGGAAAGGGAAAAATAAGACAGGGAGCATGGGAGGAGATGTGGGCAGGAGGGATTTGAAAAAGAATGAAAGGAGGGAGAGCAGGAGGGGTGGGGGTGAAGGACGATGAGCAGGGAAAGGAGAATTATGTGCATAATGATCTAACACGATAGATAAGAGATAAGACGCTGGCAGTAAAAGTGGAAACAGAAGGAGAAACGAGGAGGAAGAAGAAGAAGTCGGAAAGGCGAAAGAATGAAATTACCTCTGCGTTCTCGTCATCTTCTTCCAAAAGAGCTTCCAGAACGTCCGCAGCCCGCTAAAATCAAAAGGGCGACGTCACAATAAAATGAGCTAGTCAAACGAGTAAAGGTAGCAGTAGTGCAAGTATGTCTTTTGTAAATTTAAAGAAACAAGGAGTGAAACAAACAGGAAAATTGGCCGACAGATTGTGAGTTTCAGCTTGACTACCGGGGGTAGGCAAGATGGACGTAAATCAATCGACGACGTTCCCTACTTTCCATTCATCAAACCCACGGCCCGCATTTGCAGCTTTTCAGTGTCTGTCATCAACCTTGACATGCAGACCACTTCAAGGTCTTTATGAATTTCAGAAAAGAAGTATACTTGACGGATCATTCAAAACGGCATAAGGATCACTTAACCTAGCACGTCTTCGGAACTGTCGGTCTAAGGCAATGCCGATGGTGTCCCATGAAAACTTAGTGAGGACTTGAGCTAACAAATTTACTTGTACTAACATAACGGAATCTCATCGATAATCAGATTTCCGTTTAGAGGACGCAAGTTTGTACTGTGATCGAGCCCTTGGAATTATTGGAAGGAAAAACTGTAATTTTACGGGTTTGCAAATGTTTCTGATAGGATCGAATTTCTGTCTGTCTTACAGCCAGTAGTGTGTTTGAGTAAGCCTCTCGTTGCTCGTTTCCCATTTCCATTTTAACTCGAACTTGTACTTGACTGCAGGAAGTAGAAATTATTATTTCCTATAATGACCACCACAGAAATGGAGGCTGTAACAAACGAGACCTAGAGTGTACAGAAAAATGACTACTGCGTTAAGTTAAATGAAACATGTAGTAAAAGGGTCAGACCCACCTCGTTCATTTCCAGTTCCATCATCATTCGTGCCATCAAGATGTGCGCCTCGAAGGGAATGCCCGACAACTGCAGAAACAAAAATACGCACAAAATTGGTGTGTGTTGATTGTAGGCTGGAAACGTATGAATACTTTCAGGCGTAGTGTCTGGGCGTTTACAATCCGCGAGTCTTATCTAGCAGTCAAGAGTTCAAGGGAGGTACCGTCATTGGCGGCGAGAGTGGCCGGTTCACCTCGTGAAATGTTGAAAATGTGTCTTCGAGCGGGACGCAGTACTAAGTTGGACTTGTAGTAATAGCATGCTATATGTCCCCCAAGGTACCTTAGTTGAAACAGGACGCTGGCCTCTGAATGAACCCTTTTATGGACAGCTGCAAATTTTACACAGGTTGCAGATAATAAATACGAAAGTAGTATGCGTTTTTCAAATCTATTTTCGATGCCCCTACAAATTATAGAGTATCGCATTTCCCCATTTATTAGGTCTGATTATACACAGTACGCATTCATCACAAAATCTAATGAGTCCTATATGTCTTTCTTCAAATAATCTAGAGAAATGCATGACTTCTTTACGGGGCAGGTATACTGCGTTCAGCGTAGTCGCAAGTCCGTTAAAACATGCTAGGGCACTGAAAATGTCTTTTCCACCAGCAACTTACTATAGATTTATAAATATGATTAAATCAGACGTAGTTTATCATACAGTGAATACAAAAAGAGAATATACTTGTGTATGCCCTGCATAAAATATAGGTTAATGCATAAAGGCATCCAAAATTAATGTGGAGAGATTCATACAACTTAACCAGTTCCATCTACCGAGCACAGATTACGTATGCGGCCGGAAAAACACTCGCTCAAGGTTAGATAACTTCACAGTGGGCGGTTTCATACCCGCTAATCTGCAGAGTCTTGGCTGACGTTCACTCGGGGACACAGGTGCACTCAGGCAACACTAACCTTGGTCTAGCCAGTGGCTACTGCTGCCGGAAACAACAACCGGGATCTTCGTGCACTATAGATAGCTCACTCGTGTGTATTCTGCTTTTTACCCACGACTTGGTATTTCAATTGATGAAAGTCGTGCCCTGAGTTCACTCAATGCTTAGACGTCACAAACTGGTGACCCCGACGTGATCGAAGCGCTAGCACCTGATGCACATAATAGCAAACATCCAAAAATGTCACTCAACTCAATCTGCCTGTTTAGGTTGTGTCGCGCACAGTGTCCGCCAACAGGACAACGCGTTTGCTGATAGGTTGTAGCGTGTGAAAGCGATGTCATCAGCATACAGCTTAGCAGTCGGATTCCAGCCCTACTGTGAAAGCAGCCGCTCAACCGTGTCAACACCGGGTGCCTCCCCTACTTTTGGACCTTCTTGTTGTCCTTATGATCGGCAATCTCCCTCATGATGAACGGGTCAATTCTGTGTCCAACTCCATGAGCACACAGCCTTCCTTCACCCCCGTTCTTCCAACTTAGCATACACGACGCAATCTATTCCATTTTCGAGTACAGACGACAGTGAAACACAGCACTAACGGATTCCTCTAGCTCAGCATTCGCTGGAATGCAATTGGTTGCATAAACTCTTTCGCTTCATACCGAATCCTCGACACGCGTTGACTATTTCACGCCAGCACACCCTTTACTTGTTACGCCTGCGATCACGACTCATCTAGCCGGCCTCAATTATGTCCCATATGGTGCTTCTCCACGCGCGACGATCCGTGGTCGCAGACCGGGACAGTTCAACCCATTCTCTTCGCCAGCGCCGGAGACCGAATACCGAAGGTCCAAGAACCACTTCCATGCTCCGAGACGGACTGAGTCGAGCCAGGTTTTGAGTTGATCCCCCGTCTTCGATGTTTCTAATTAGGCAACGGTTTCAAGTCGAGGGCAGTAGCACTGAGATTTTGAGGTTGGCGACGAAAAATGTGTCCAAACCACCTCAGCCGTCTTTCCTGAATGGTCTCGGATATCCTTGTGTTTTGTCACAGCGCGTGCGGACTGTCTCATTTGAGACGAAGTTGGTTTACTTCACTCGAAGGATGTTCCTTAGACAGTAGTGGGCAAAGACTTCCAGTTTCTGTTCATCTTCCACGCGCATAGCC